ACCTTGCACTTGGCCTTGTTGAATTGCATGAGGTTTTTCACCGCCCAGTTGCCCAGTCTCTTCAGGTCCCTCTGGATGGCAGCGCAGCCCTCTGGGGTATCGACTACTCCTCCCAGTTTGGTATCATCAGCAAATTTGCTGAGGGAGCACTCTGTGCCTTCATCCACGTCATTGAATAAATTGAACAGGACTGGACCAAGGACTGACCCCTGGGGGACCCTGCTAGCTACAGGCCTCCAACTAGACTCTGCACCGCTGATCACCACCCTCTGAGCTCTGCCATCCAGCCAGTTCCTAATCCACCTCACTGTCCACTCATCTATCCCACACTTCTGGACCTTGCCCAGGAGGATGTTGTGAGGGACGGTGTCAAAAGCCTTGGTGAAGTCAAGATAGATGACATCTCACAGAAAGAGAGCTAGACTGCCTTAGAAAGCAATCATGTAGCGCTCTTAAAATCAAAAAATATCTTGCCTGTACAGCCAGGACAATCCATAGGATGTTGCTGCAGATGTTGCCACAGATGCTGCCACAGATATTGCTGCATGGGATAGCAAAGAGGGATCTACTACTGTTTGTGCTAACTGAAGTACATGGCACTTGGTATATCATGTCTTAGGGTGTTTGGAGGTAAAAGGGTAGTATAATTGGCAAGATTGGTACCTATGAAGAAAGGAAACAACTTGGTCATAAATGAGGAGCCTCTTGGATACTGTGGCTGTGTTTTCTGAAGAAGGAGTGGGTCCAAAAGGGCTTTAAGATAATTTGCTAGGAATAGTGAAAAAGAAACTCATTCAGTACTAACAGCAGTTCTGTCTTCCACTTCCTGGCTCTTCTCAGGAATTGCTTCAGATGGAGTGTTAATGGTTGTCCATGTTTGTCAGTAAGCTATGTGCATAAATTGCATTACAGTAATTTTGACACTATGCAAACCAGGTTAAGTTCACGAATTCACTAATACACTGAACAAGGTGGTATTCCCAGGGCATTTAACTTCAGGTAAGTTATGTGAAGTAAGAGACATTAGTAATAAGAGCAACCTTTACATCAAGTTCCCTTGACTAGAAGAAACATTCTTGCTTCTAATGTCTCTTACGTGTTTGTGTTTCAAATAGGCATTTGCCAACCCAGAAGATATGCCAGCCAGTAAAGGCGAGAATGCTAAAAAAGTTCTGCGAACTGATCCAGATGTTGAACGCGTACGCAGGTAAGCATGGGAGTCTACCAAAAATTATTATTAAATAGCATTTTGTTATAAATAAAGAAAATCATTTCACTCCCTTCTCTTTGGCAAACCTATATGTTTGGTTTTTTTGTGTGTTGCTTTATGTGGTAATCTTATAATCTGTCTATTCCATATTCAAATGGTCTACAAGCATACCAAAATAATAAATCATAGGCTATAATGCCTAACTCTTGGATAATATTAAGTACGAATGGGGGAAGTGGTAAGAAGATCGCAAAATGTGATGGTAAATATGATTTAATACAAAGCAGTGAGTTATGTTAAGTGTAAATCAGCTTTCTCCATGATCTGAGCATGAACTGGGATGGTTACATCTTTTGCTAAAGTGTAAAGGAAATAACAGGGGGAAAAGGAGTAAAACTGCTATGGAACTCAGAGTTGTAATGAGGGCCTAATCTGGGAAATGTAGTGAGTGGGAGTTGAAGCTTGTGCTCTTTTTGTTAGACTGAATTGGGGTTACTCACTAATGTGTCAACTGTGCAGGGAAGTTGACCAGCCTTCTGGAAGAACGATATTAATAGCATGGCAATGTGCAGCCTGCAGCCTATGTATTTGGCTCTGCAAGTTTCACAGTGGAATGTAAATTATATTTCAGTGGGCTAAATGTTGCAGTTTATTAAATTATATTTGTGGCAAAAGTTTTTTTTTTTTTTTTTTAATTTCAAAATCATATCTTTGGAGATGCTGTTTGATGCAGCTTGATATATTTTTTCTAACAAAAGGAGCTTTAATGTCTTAATGTTTTCCATATCTTATTGAAGCTAACGGTTTGTTTGCTGTTTATTTTTTGGGGAACCAAAAATGTGACTGAACTACTCTCTTTAGAACCTCCATGGGTGAAGATTTTCAAAATAAATACCAACTCTGCTTTCAGAACAGTGCATCCTTGAAAATGTTTGTAGCCCCATGAACTCTAGTATATATTTGTAGATTCCAGGAGAAAAATAATCTCAGAGGTTAAGTTAGGAAATGAAGATAGGAAAATGACAACGACTTCTTAGAGTTATGGACAGATCAAATTTTTAGAGACTCTGTTCCTAAATCCTACGCAATTGTGTTGCAGAACTGTTTAGACTTCCATGGAACTATTAGGTCGGTTCTGGAGACTCCCATGGTGTTGCAGGTTGCGCCACCCTTTTATTTATTTATTTATTTATTTTTCCTTCTCAACGGTACCTCTTAATGAGTGTATACTGTATGTTCATAGCAACAGGGAATGCCATATAGATTTAAGCATGACTTACTTTATAAGTGATTGGGATTTGTTGCATTTATAGACAGGAAGCAACACTGCTTTCTTCAGTTTATTTGGTAAAAAACCCATAATTGCTGGAGGATATTTTTGCTTATAATGATAAATGCGTTCAGAAGGCAGCTGAAAAACAGCTCTGTGATTTGTTTCTAGTTGGCACTGAAATTTGACATAATTAGTTGAAGCTTAGAAGATGTTTCAATCGGCAAATTTGGCTGGAATTATAATTTATTTATAATAAAGGGAATAGGGAAAGTTCAGGAAGAAGTGTGGAAAAATACATCAAGATCTAGAGTTCAGTCTCAACACGTTTATAGTAAATTATATTTGGTTTCAAAATTCAAACTTTCTTAGCTCTTTTAATGCTTAGTAGTGACAAAAACAAACCAAAATAGTTACTCAAATCCGTTAGATGCTTAAAAGTAACATTCGTTAAGATGACTGAATTTCCTGAAATTTTGATAGAAAAAATAAAAGCTTTTTTGGTTTGAACTCACTGAGGAAGTAAGAGTCCAAAAGTGACATTGGAAACTGTTGAGTACAGCAAGAACAAATGTGTTTGTAAAACTGTCTCTTTTCCTTTTTTTTTTTTTTTTTTTTTGCATATAATACAAATTGAATATTGCTGAGTACCATTCTGAGGTAAACTGTATATGCAACACAGAACATTAACTTCAAAATTAAGAATAGATAAAAAGATAGGAGAAATGACAGGACTGTGCAAGTGAGAGCATGTTTCATATTTTTTTTATGGAGGCTACATGCTGAGTTTTTAGTTTTGGAATAGACCATCTGGGCACAGAACCCTGCCTTTTGCGGTCACCGTCATCCACATCACAGCTGAGAGAGGTTGCAAGAAAATTCCAACTGTGTCTCTTCCTCCATTTCCTATCCTTGTATCGCTCTCCACCAAGATGCAGGCATACACCTGATGCAAGTCCCAAAAATTACTGTGGTTCTAGAGAGAATCCTGAAACCTTTGATGCAGAAAATGAGAAGCTTCAAAATGCAGGGTGCTGCAAGAGACGCAGCATGGCAATGTCAGGTGAATGTGCCAAAAGCATCTGAGCAACTGAACTATGTCCCACACTTCAGGGGAAGGTAGTGGTTATGTTAGGACATTAGCAATAGCATTTTTTTTAAGGTGCTGAAAAATAATGAGGCTTGAAGTGGTTCAACAAAACTCGGCACTGTAAAACAACTTTGCTTCTTTCTCCAGGAACCACCTGAATGACCTTGAAAACATTGTCCCCTTCTTTGGCGTTGGCCTGCTGTATGCTCTTAGTGGCCCTGAGCTGTCCACAGCCTTGCTGCATTTCAGGATCTTTGCCGGGGCGAGGATCTTGCACACTATTGCGTACCTGACTCCTCTTCCCCAGCCTAGCAGAGGTTTGTGTTGGGGAGTCGGGTACATGGTTACCATCTCCATGGCCTACCAAGTGCTGAAGGCTGCGCTGTCCCTGTAGCGAGGCGCGTGTCTGCGTAGTGTTTGCCATTCCACGTGAAGTTTCCATCCGTGTGTGTTGATGAGCCATTGTAACTCCTTCACGGTGACCTCCATGCAGTTTGTAACAGAGGCTTTTCATTCCCGTTTAGATATGTTTCTTTTTAGAGGAGAAAAGAAATCCTTCTCCCCATATTCCCTTTTCCAAGGCTGTGTTGCCAAAATATTAGATTGAATTTTCTTTCTGTGATATGTCAAGTGTTTGTGATTCTAAACATATGATGATGCTGTATTGATGGCATATGTGGTAATTTTCTACAGATGCACTATTTTTGGCTCTAGCTCTGAAGTCTAAATCAATAAAGACAAGAGAGAAAAAAAAGTGTGTTTGTATTTTTGTTTTCATTTTGACTGTTCTAACTGCAGCCAGCAAATAGAATGTCACTATATATCAGATGGAGATTCCAATCATACAGTTCTTTGAAGAATATTTACCTTAATAATAAGATATAGCAAGTAATGCTAGGCTTTTTGTAAAGAAACTGATGAAAGTGATGTTTGTATAATCCACTTTGGGATTAAAAACCCAAACCATAGCAGTTCCATTTTTCTCAGTTGAATAGATTCAAAAAAAATGCATTTGTGCTAAGTGTTCTCTTTAGTGACACTGGTGAAAATATGAGGTAATTTTTGTTGAAGTTGCTCCAAATTTAGGTTTTGTAACCAGATAAAGTGTGGATACTTTGTAGAGAAATTTCTTTGTTTGGGATGATCTCAGCATAAAAGGTGACACTTGCAAATGCATATACCTGGTAATTCAGAAGTGAATTTGCAATTAGCTGTATGTCATGCTGTGCTCGTAAATATGTTACTGATAGAAAATTTTGCTCTTTGCTCATATTTTTCCGATGTGTTAGTTTGAAATATTTTCTTTAAAGATTCTTTCCCACCATTTTTGTTTTGTTTGTTTATGTAGCTGCGGTGTATATAATAGCAATAGAGTTCAAGAGGAAAAATAACCCAAGAAAGACTACCATGCTGGACACAGATAAGTTTTAAATGGCAATAATCAGAGCCTAATGTCTTGCATCTGTTTTTCTTTTGTGCTTTTCTACTCCAGAGGCTGTTCTAATAGATTTTGCCACTCCAGGGACAGCCCAGAGAGAGGCTTAAGGTTTCTTTCTGCTGCCTGTAAATGCCAAAGGCTCTTCTGTTCTCTTTGCATGAAAGCTTGTAGTGCCAGGCATATCATATTAGGGCCTACATATATAACCACAAATGTGAGATAAGTCAGGGGAAGCTCAAGTATTACACTAGGCTGTAACTGGGAAACCTGGCAGGAGGTGTCAAAAAGGACACAGACTGGTTTAATCCAAAGAAGGACTATTTATTGCAATTTAAGCGTAGCATTTAAGTGATGCCTACTAAAATAAAAAAGTGTAGGAAAACAACAAGTGAACGCTAATTTTTCAAAAATTAGATGTAACTAGTGAGTGAAATAAAGAAGAGATGGATCCTCTGGAAAGAGGATACTTGAGAGAGGGATTGAAAGTAGAACATTGTAGGGCTTCAGTTGCTGAGATGGCAACATATAAGCACACATCAGTACCACTTCATTAACAGAGAGTCCAACAGGCAACATGGGCTTTCGTGTTTCTTCTTGCACCTTTTCTCCACCATATCCTCCCTGTGCTGTTTTCCTGCAGTTCTTTCTGTTAACTTTTGTTGGGAGCTCCAGACCAGCTACCTTGGATGGAGCAGTTGTAATGAGGTAAGATTGCACGGTCAGCTCTCCTTAGCTTGAGAACGACCAGTGGTGGAGGGAGAAGTGCCTGGGACCCATGTGTTTGGGGCCCAAAGCAGAGTCAACTTGCCATTTCAGCTTGATCTGCCTGTGACTGCCCAGCCTCCTTATGTCCAAATGGCACCACCTCTCTGTTTTCCTCATTCCCTTGCAGTTGTCTCTTCTTCCTGGCTGTGTCTTTTTAGTCATCAAAAAGGAGAAAGTAGCCACCATCGTTAGAAGGATCAGTTGCAGAGCTACTCCTTTGCATTAGCATTACAAATGCGCTTGTGGTGGAATGAGAGACTCCTGAGTACCAGCTTTCTACTAGAGGGATTCTTAATAACTTTTTATCTGCTTCATTTCAAAATTTCCTGGTTTGTCCTCTTTCTTGATTCTTTTTCAAACTTCCAATTTTTCTGGTACGCCTACAGTAGGATTAAGAAGGTGTTGTTCTGTGTATTCAAATATCTTTTTTTTTTTTAATTGTGTAACAATAACACCTTAAATCTAAAATTGGGATCTAGTTAATTAGCAGATATGTTAGGATGTCAAAATGTCACAAATTGTTAAGCAGGAGTGATGCTGTATACTTGCCATTGCCAGACATATTCAGAAGCAGCATTTTCAACTGCTTTTACATTAAACTTCTGAAGAGAAATACCCAGAGCCTATCCTTATTTCTGTGACCTTAAATTTGAAGCCACACTAGTTTTAAATCCCTTCTATTTGCTCAACAGTATGAAAGTCCTGAACATACACTCACTATATGCCGAGAAGCAGAAAAAAATAAACAGAAATGCTTTAAAATACCTAGAGTGATTCAATATTATTCAGTGTTTCTCTTGCATTTATTTTAAACCTGTATTTTATTTTCCCTTGCTCCCACAAATACCATCTGTGGGGTACAGGCTCAATCTGTGAAATCTGCCTTAGCAGCTTCAGTGAAACTCCTGACTGCCAGCTCTATGTGTTTTGGAGTCGCTCTTTTACAGTGGCCCTTGCAATTCTCCAAGCCATGTGTTAGGGATGTATATACTGTTCTGTATACTATCCAATTGTTATATAGAGGTTAATATAAAAAGTTATTTTACTTTTAGGATAATGAGTAAAGGAAAGCTGGGTGAATGTAGTGAATGTACTCCTGAACTAAACCAAGTTTTCCTCTTTTAAAACATGTATGTTATCTAATTTCTTCTTTTAATAGGGTGCATGCTGAAATGAAATGGATATGTAGCTGTCTGTAAGATTTTATGCCGTGAGATGAGTTATACAACTTGTTTCATTGTCATACCTGTGATACCTAATGCTAAGTAAAAAAAGTCTTATAATGAATAGTGAATAATAATAGGGTTTTTTTTTTTTTTTAATTTCAAGGTGTAGATAAATGCTTATAGCTCCTGGAATCAATTGTGCCAATTTACCAGATGACTAAACAAAAGAAAATTACCGGCATGGTCCTGCTCTTTTAGCAGGTGTCAAGAGCAATGTGAGGCTGATGCCCTAGTTGTAGCTGCCATTTACTGTGGGTTTAGGACTGAGATGATCTGGTTCCGTTATAATTCATTAAATGAAATAATTCTTAACTCTAATTAAATGGCTGTCATCAGCGGGTAGAGAATTTGAGCTTGTGAAGGTAAGGAAGAAGGTAGTCCATGGCAGACATTTTTTTTTTTAAAAAAGGTCAACCCAGAGTCTTCCAGGATTCTAGCTTGCTTGGCTGGCTCTAGTTAGGTAGTTTTGTCTCCAAGTGAGCTGTATGTGCTCCTTTGTTTTTAGAAGCTTAGATGTGTCAGATGCTTCTCAATTTGGATTTTATCTCTGTGGGTGAACTGCTGCAACTCTAGACAAAATCACTTCGTTCTGGCTTTCAGGGCTGCAGACAGGTATGCTTTAGGCAATGACTTGTTGAGAATGTTTTTTACTGCTTGTGCCATTTGAGGGTGACTTCATGTCCTATCACACCAAAATACATGTTTAAAATTATTGGTAGTATATTAAGTGATTCCATGAATTTTCAGAAGTAAGTGTACATCTTAACTTCATCACCTTCAAGGTATTTATTTCAAGAAGCTGGACAATATTTCTGAACATGATGAATCTGCAAAGTCATCGAAACACAGAAAAGTTCAGGCTCCTAGTTCAAAGCATTCGTAAGTTTTAATATTTTATAGTCACCTGAAACATCTTACAGTCATTAATCCATGCTTAGCCATATGTCTTCCTCGTTTTTTATTATTTATTTGTTTTTAACAGAAACAGATTCAATCTAGATTTGCAAATACATGCCATTCTAAAGGTTAAAAGTAAAAAGCAAAATTTAAAAAATACTCTTTTAAAAGTCATAGGATTTTTGTCTCTTTTCTCATGTTTTCATTCCAGTGATGAATTTGAAGAAAACCTTTTCCCTTTTTTGTTGTGACATTGTCCTGCCAACTGACATGGAACACCGTATGCTGTGAAAAAGGTTGTGTTGACATACCTTAAAATACTCAGGTGTTTAAATAACTCCAGCTGTTGGGCACTTAGAAAAACATATCTTTGTGATTTGGCTTAAGTGAAGCAATGCAGTATTAATAGGCTAATGATTTTAAAAATTCCCAAACTCTATTAGTCACTCCTACACACAGATTTTAAAGTTCAGATTGAATTGTTAGCTCCTCCAGTCTGACCTCTAGTGGAAAATACCCTGTGAAATGGCTGACCTTGTGCTGAGGTTAGTTTGGTCACAGAAAGTCTTCCATGTCTATGTGAGATCTTTGTTTGGAGAGTTTGCAAGACAGATTAACTCACTCTTTTCTAGGACTTCATTTCTCTCTAGAATATTTGCATACTAAATGTAGATACTAAAACATATATATGGACAGTTATTATCAGTTATTATCAGGACAGTTATTCAGTTATTGCAGTTAGCTGTGTGACAACTAACAGCTACCCCAAAATTGACATCACACGTACAGTGTTGGAAGAGGATGGATCAACCTTTTTTTTTTTTTTTACATTGAAGTTTACATTTGATACTCGATTGCCTGTTTTTGGAAAAGTACCCTTTACATTGCAATACATTCATGGAATATCAGAAAGGTGGTTCACTGCAAAGGGGGTTTACCTGGGAGTCAGGCAGAAAGGGTTCAGTTCCCAAGGTTGTCCCGGATTCTTTGGAAGAACTGGTCTGTGCTTCATCTCTCTTTAATCCTTCCTTTAGGGAGGAGCTGAAGGGATCTGTGGAACTGCAACGC